AAGCCAAATTCATCACCTTCAGCATGTTGGTCTTCTGCAGTGTTTGGCTGTGTTTTATTCCAACCTATCTAAGCACAAAGGGAAAATATACATTGGCTATGGAGATCTTCTCCATGATCTCCTCTAGTGCTGGCTTATTAGTGTTTATCTTTTCCCCCAAGTTTTTTATCATAGTAATCAGACCCGAACTGAACAATAAACAACAGCTCATGAAAAGAAAGTTTTAGGAAAGATTGTCTTTGTATGTGCATGTTGGAGATCTTCCTCACTTGCCCTTTGAAGCCAGTGAGCAACTTACAGTTAGATTGGTGTGCTGTGTTGCAAAGCCTACCTTGTCCCTGAGATTTGGGTTATTCAAAACTTTTTTTTTTACTTCTGGAAAACAGTTAAACATGGGAAGCATGAAACCATGTAAACAAAGAAATAAATGACAACACAATATTATTTTTTGTGATATTTCAGTATGTGATAGACATCTCTGACTCAATATATAGATTAAATTTGAATTATAATTTTTTTTAATTGGTCATCCAAATTTATATGCACGCTTGAACATGTAAAAGAAGTGGGGATTAAGCACAAATGAGACTTTCATTTAAACAAGGAATGCCAATTATTTGTTTCTAAAGCAGTCAGATAGCGAACTCGCTGTGGGAGAAAAGTTACATAATATCAAAGAAATGGTGGAACATAATTATTAAAGAAAGAATGCAAAAAGAGGGACAAAATGAAATGTGAATGACAAAAAATAAAATATTTTAAAAATTATTTTAAATAATTAACAGAGAACGTGGAACCTGGTTATCTGAGGAACCATATCACTCCAAAGGAATTAGCTCATCCAAGCCATGGTGCTATAAGAGGCATACTGTGTGTGGTGGGTGGTTCAGGAGAAAAGCATTTTCTACCATGGTGCCCAACCCATTGACGCTTGTGTCCCCAAGATTGGATCAACAATCACCATTTTGGTCTTTTGAAATGGGTTGGATATCAGGCTGCCCCGATGGGAGGGCAGTATCTTGGAGATGGTTACCATGCTTTCCCAAAAGTAAGACCTACCTCAAAAATAAGCCCTAGCTTGATTTGGGAGGGGGAAGTAATATACGCTTTACTCCAGAAATAAGCGCTAGTTTTGGGGTGAAGCACACACCTAAAAATCAAGCCCCACACCCACTTACCTTGCAGTCAGGCCTCTCCTCACCAACCCACTTCTTCTGTGGCATTCCCAGGCCTGCATTTTGCAGTCAGAGGCCGTTCTGGAAGGCCATTGCAGCCAAGAACTGAGCTATGGATTAAGTCCATAGCTCAGTTCTCAGCTGCAATGGCTTTCTGGAAATGCCGCTGACTGCAAAATGAAGGCCAGAGCTCCATTCTCAGCTGCAGAATGAAGCTGCTCCTTTGGCTGCAGAAGAAGTGGGCTGGCTGGTGGGGCTGTCGATGCTGGAGGTGTGTGGAAAAGACACCCACCTGAAAATAAGACCTGGTGCCTCTTTTGGAGGCAAAAAAATAAAATAAGATCGGGTATTATTTTCAGGGAAACATGGTAATAGATTAGACAGAACCTATTTACTCCACATGTGTACTTTACTCCCATCCTCTCCATTTTGATTATTGAATTTTAATTCAGTTAAAATTGAATTTTAATTGAGTTTTAAATTTATGGTCTGCATTTAATGTTTTAATGCTTTGTATGATATTTGATTGAATGACTGTAAGCTACCTAGATTTCTATGTCGTGAGATGAGCAGCGTAGAAGTTAAATAATTAATTCTTTGTTGGGCCTACAGTAGCAGAGATAAGATATAGTCCAGTGATGGCGAACCTTTTAGAGACTAAGTGCCCAAAAACTGGCCCCGCCTCTCCATCCCCTGCCCCACCTGCTCGCAGGGCCACTCACCACCTCCAGGGCCCTCCGCAGATCGCCCAATATTCACCCTCTATTGGTATTACATATTGGCATCAAACACTTCATAAAGCACACAAACTGAGAAATTTGCATGTAAGCATACTTCCAGCAAGGAACACTTATTCTTCCTGCACAAATACCTATGACAGCGAGCTCTGCCCATCAGTGTCAGATACAAACCTCCAATAAAATGCACAAGTTTAGGAAATAGCCCAAGAAAGTGGCAGAAAATGAGGTGACTCATTACTGTAGATGTTCACCTCAGACTCAACTTATATTATCCACCCACTATCTGCTGCAAAACTCAATGTTTTATGAAAAGGCCTAATTTTCTTCTAACTTCCTTATTTCTGCTTAAAATTCCTAATTATTAATTTCTCCTATCCTCCTATTTTGCCTACGTACCACAGACCAGAACTTGGGGTGGGTGGTTTCTGAGGGCTTTTTTGAGGACTGCTCTGTTCTCTGCTTTGGATTGGTTTTGTTCTCATCTTCTTCTGATGTATGATATGATAGTTGGCCTGGTGCTTTCTAGGGCCTCTGCAAGAAATGTAGTTATGATTGTAGTTATGATTGCTCTTTCTAAAGCTGCAAAGAACTCTGGTCGATTAGCATCATCACTGTTAGAGTTTAGTTAAAAGAAAAAAGAGAAGCAGAGTTGCAAAGGGTGCTGCTACTGGAACCACAAGTTGCACAAAAAGAAAAAGAAAAAAAAAAGGACAAAAAAGGTGGTGTGCAGATGTTCCCAGAGAGGAATTGATCCTCCCACAAATGCTGAAATAAAATTGGTTGGCTAGAGTTTTCTCTTCTTATTCACTAATATTATACTCTCCAAGCAATGGACAAATTATGTTATAATGCTAAAAAAGGAGAACAAAACCAATCCGGCTCCAAACCAGCTAACAACTGTCCTAGCTAGCTCCCAGTCTGTCTTCTAGGTCATGGTTGTTCCAAAGGTGCTTTTTCAAGAGGCAACAGGACTTTCTTTGTTTTTCATTGAAGATGTTTTGTTTCTCTTACAAGACGTTTCTTCAATTTGAGTGTAGGGAAATGGAAGGATTTTTATTCCTAACAGTCATCTGGTTGTTAGCACTCTTTCTGAGAGTTATTGAGGCCACTTGGAGGTTTATCTGTGCCCTCAGGGTCAACTGAATAGTGCAAATGGGTGTGGAACCTTTTTGGAACTGCTGAAAGGACTATGTTGTAAACAGGAGGTAGCTGATTTTGAATGACAAAGGCCACTCTTTTGAAGACAGCCAAGTCCACATTGTGGACAGAGAGAATTGCTGGTTTGAAAGAGGGGTCAAAGAGTCCATCTACATTAAAACTGTCAACAGAGGAAGAGGGATATGATACCACCTATCTCCTGTTTATAACATAGTCCTTTCAGCAATTCCAAACTCAAGGATAAAAGTGAACTCAAGGATAAAAGTGAAACTAAGTACTACAAAATCTGGGAACAATTTTATGATTGGATAGACAATAAGAGGATAGCCAAGACAAATGTATAGTGTTAGAATAAAATATAGATTATAGACAAATGTATATTTAAAAGATAAATAGATATACAGAAATAAGGGGAAAAATGTTAATATTATATTATAAATAGTAAGCAAAGCTCAAGAACTATATGTCTATATGAGTACTAATACTACTGTAAAATGTCGGAAGATGTGTGGAACCAGTGATGCCATATCTATGTCCAATGTGTTTTTAATTTTTATTATTAATAAAAAAATATTAAAAAACACACAAAAAGGTTCCACACCTATTTGCACTATTCAGATAATCCGAGGGCACAGATAAACCTCCAAGTGGCCTCAACAATTCTCAGAAAGAGTGCTAATGACCAGATGATTGCAAGA